ATCTCAGCTTCAGTGATTGAATCAGTTGTGATTTACGTAACTTTGATGAATATTTTTATCCATATAACGTGTTGGGGGAAAACCCGAAGTGATGAAGGTCGAAGACTTTTAACACTTTTCTGAAGCCTGCGAACATTAAGCTGACAAATTACATGGAACCCGCGATATTGGTTCACGGCTGGTACAACCGTGTACCTTCTCAGGTATCAGATCTAGCTGTTGAGTTACTCGATGTTCATCTGAAGTCAATTGACATCGAAATAACTGTCTGATGTCATGACGGTCTTTTTGCAGATACTTTTGCGAGTCTGAGGAGGAAGAGAGATGCTGGACAGATCAACGAGGCCGACTTCGACAAATATTCCGAGCATCTCAGGTAAGTGTGTTAACATAAACAATGTCAACCATTCCTTGCCAGACGCTTTTTTTCCTATTACACATAACTTGATCAAAATGTCTACTCAATCGAACCAGAAGCCACATTCCTAGTACAAATGGTTCATTAATTAAAAAGAAGCATTGACATTCTAAACAAGAGCTTGTCATAAGAGGCGACTGGATCAGGTGGTCAAGATATGTGACAGTTGGAACATTTTGATCATATCAAATATAATATAATTATTTGTCTGGCCCAGACCCGATGATTTACAGAAATAAAAATAGTTGAAATATTACTGACTGCTGTGTAAAGGAACAACTAAACACAAATGTGAACTTTTGGTTTCGTTGAAAACATATTTAGCGAAATCTTGTAGACATGGTTCATTAATTAAACAAGGTGTAATAATAGTTGTAGCAACAACATCAGTAGGAGTAGTAGCAGCAGTTGTAGTTGCTGGTGGTAGCAGTAGTTGCTGTCTGCATGTCATGTAAGGAACCGGGTAGGAATCGGTGCCCAGCACTCCATTGCTTGCCACAAGAGGCGACTTAGCTGGGTCGGGTGGTCAGGATCAGTGACTTAGTGGGAAGGCCCCTCATAACACCCACCACTGGTTTGTCTGGTCCAGACTCGACTACTTACAGGCCGAGTAGCTGCAATATTGCTGTGTGCAGCGTGAACCAAACACTTAACACAAATGTCAGCTTCTGGTTTCGTTGAAGACTTCATTAGCCAAAGTTTATTTTGACACGTTTAACTTGAAGAACTCTCTTCATATTTCAGGAAGTTGATGAAGTAGGAAGCGCTCCATCACACCACAGCTGGACTAACGAAGAAGCAACAAAAATAAACATTAATTTAATGTGAGATTTGTGTTTCTGTTGTAATTTTTTGTATTGGTGAAAATGACACGTCGACATTGGTGAAATACCGCTTTTTGTATCGTGTCGTATTAGAATCATAACAAACACGATTGAAATGGAACATTCATCACGGAGATGTACTGAAGGAACGAAATAATTAAATATAGTTCAAACCAAGCATTACTTTTTAAATAATTAACATAATGTTGAGATAAATTACTTGTATGTACATATACTGGCCTGAACAAGAGGCAATGAAGCAGCACCTGCTTTCTGCTGCGTCCACTTTCATATTTCCCTACCCGTGAAGATCCGGGGTAGAATAGGTCTTCAGCAACCCATGCTTGCCGTAAAAGGCGACTATGCTTGTCGTAAGAGGCGACTCACGGGATCGAGTGGTCAGGCTCGCTGACTTAGTTGATGCATGTCATCGTATCCCAATTGGATCGATGCTCATCATGTCAATCACTGGATTGACTCGGTTATTATATCATATAGCTGGAATATTGCTGAGTGCGACGTTAAACAACAAACAAAACATATTTCCCTTTGATACCCGTTCCCTTACTTCTTTCCTTCAGTATATTTCAATACGTCAGTATTGACAGTGCCACAGTTGCGATACAAACATGTTATACACGACAGCGCCGGGGTAACATATCTACTGACGTACTGACTGACTGGGTGTGGCGGTTTCAGGTCGCTGTTAAAGTGGGGGTCAGTTATTTCAGTGACAGTGTACTCATAATGCGGCAAGTAGGAACGTGGGTTAAACCACGTCCACGGATAATGTAGGATTCGAACCCACGACCTACAGGGCGTACTGAAGCAGTTTCTAAAAATTCCTGGATCTATACTAACACTCTTGTAGACCGAACATCAAAGACATATCACGATCATTGTTATACAGTCAACAACGGTTATAACGAACTCAAAGGACCACTAATTTTAGTTCGTAATAACCGTTGTTCGTTATAAGCATATATACAGCACATATACAACAAATGACTTGAACTAAAAAATGTTCGCTATGTCGGTCAATTCGTTATAATCGTGTTCGTTATAAATGTAGTTTACTGCAGTAAACTCTATACAGTCTTACCTCGTTAACCCGAACATATTTAACACTATATGTCGCACTGGATGTATTTATCTATTGGCATATTCTATACTATTGCTCTCCAGTCTCCAAACCGATGTGTGTTCGATAGTTCCGACGACTTTGCGATTTCTACTTATAATCGGGGCGGTCCTGTAGCCTACGGCGTACAACGCTTATAGAGATTTCTTTCGAAATACGGTTTTGTCGCTTGTATTTAATTGATACATTGCTCATGACCTACTATTATTTGTGATAAATGTCAGATATTAGTAGGCTATCAGATACACATGGAGAGCGATAAATCCTCAACCTCAAGAAGTTATCATGAGAATCATTTACACAAAATTACCAATTTATAATTTGAACCAAATGTACAAACAAGGAAGGAATATAGAGCAAAGTCTGGATTAGCCGAATATTGAATCGTGACATCATGACTCATGACGTCGTGGACATATTTCATTTCTATTTTGATACTAAATCTAGACATCCTCCGTAGTCTAGTCCAGCTTACACAAACTATTTTTGAACGCGACATTCAACCCAATTTCAATTTTCCTTAAAAATAATATATTCTCCATTTCTTTCTTTTAAAAGTGGCTTTCCTCTCTCTTTTAGAGAGTGGATAGAAAATGAATTTGTTTTGTTTGGACACCAACAACGACAATGTAAAAACCCCTTAGTCTTGACCTCGCTATTCCGGACACCCAGCCTCCAACGCCTTTATTCTATGTTGCGGCAATGAATTACAGTGTTTCATGTAGTACAGTAAACTACGGTTAAAACGAACTCAAAGGGACTACTATTTTTAGTTCGTTATAACCATAGTTCGTTATAAGCATATATAAGTATAACTACCGCAAATAGCCGGGTCCAAAAAAGTAAGTTCGTTATATCCGTCAGTTCGTTATAAGCGTGTTCGTTATAGCCGTAGTTTACTGTACATGAATGTCGTTGCCAAATCATTATGGTGGTTTAAGGGACCGACAATTTGATATTCGGGGGAGGGGGATGGGAGAGGGGGGCTGGGATTTTCTGTTGAGATATATTTTTTCAGCTTCAGCTACAAAACCAGATATATTTTGATTTAAAACTATGAGGCTGAGATTTTTAAAGAAAACACATTGCAACAATGTAATTTTTATAGCAAGTAATTTCTTCTTTATTCAATAGTCTGAAGCATAATTATTTTTTTCAAGAATTTTAGGGAACATTTCAGACCATCTCAAGGTCCTTGTTTTCGCACACTGACCTCGTCAAGAGTAATTACCGCTAATTTTTAGTAATTTAGTAATGTTTTGTGTAATGTTCACCGCTACTTTGCCTTTTACGCCCAATGTTTCGGTAGATAATCGAGACTGGTGATTCTCTTGCATTGACATTGTAAATTACAGTCGAAATCACAAAGTCGTCGGAACTATCGAACACACATTGGTTTCGAGACTGGAGAGCAATAGTATATAATAAGCCATTAGATATATACATCCAGTACGACATATAGTGTTATATGTGTTCGGGTTAACGAGGTAAGACTGTATAGAGTTTACTACAGTAAACTACGTTTATATCGAACACGCTTACAACGAATTGACCGATATAACGAACTTATTTTTAGTCTCGGTCATTTGCTGTATATATGCTTATAAAGAACAACGGTTATTACGAACTAAAATTAGTGGTCCCTTTGAGTTCGTTATAACCGTAGTTTACTGTATATCAATGATCGTGATATGTCTTTGATGTACGGGCTACAAGGAGTGTTAGTAAAGATCCAGGAATTTAGAAACTGCTTCAGTGCGCCCTGTAGGTCGTGGGTTCGAATCCTACATTATTCGTGGACATGGTTTAACACACGTTCCTACTTGGCGCATTATGAGTACATTGTCACTGAAATAACTGACCCCCAGTTTAACAGCGACCTGAAACAGCCACACTCACTCAGTCAATCAGTACGTCAGTAGATATGTTACTCTGGCGCTGTCGTGTATAACATTTTTGTATCGCCACTATGACACTGTCACACAATACTGACGTATTGAAATATACTGAAGGAAAGAAGTAAGGGAACGGGTATCAAAGGGAAATATGTTTTGTTTGTTTGTTTGTTGTTTAACGCCCGACTCAGCAATATTCCAGCTTTATGATATAATGATTAAGTCTGGACCAGGCAATCCAGTGATTGACAGCATGAGTATCGATCCATGCAATTTGGATACGATGATATGCATCGACCCAGGTCAGCGAGCCTAACCACCCGATCTATTTAGTCGCCACTTAGGACAAGCATAGCCGCCTTTTACGACAAGCATGGGTTGCTAAGGTCCTTTTCTAACCTGGATCTTCACAGGTAGGGAAATATGAAGGTGGCAGAAAGCACATTCTGCTTCATTGCCTCGTGTTCAGGCAAGTATATGTTCATATATCTCAACAATATTTTAACTATTTAAAACATATTGCCATCTTTGAATTACACTTCATTATTTCGTTCCTTCAGTATGTCAGGTTTTACATATTACCGTGATTCCAATCGTATTATGTTTTTTATGATATCGTGCGATTGATACGTACAAGAAACAAAAAGCAGTATTTCACCAATGTCGACGTGTCATTTTCACCAATACAAAAAGAAGAGGTAATTACAACAGAAACACAAATCTCACATTAAATTAATGTTTATTTTTGTTGCTTCTCCGTTAGTCTGACATTTGACTCCAGCTGTGGCGTGATGGAGCGCTTCCTACTTCATCAACTTCCTGAAAGATGAAGAGAGTTCTTCAAGTTAAACGTGTCAAAATAAACTTTGGCTAATGAAGTCTTCAACGACACCAGAAGCTGTCATTTGTGTTTAGTGTTTGGTTCACGCTGCACACAGCAATATTGCAGCTACTCGGCCTGTAAGTAGTCGAGTCTGGACCAGACAAACCAGTGGTGGGTGTTATGAGGGGCCTTCCCACTAAGTCACTGATCGTGACCACCTGACCCAGCTAAGTCGCCTCTTGTGGCAAGCAATGGAGTGCTGGGCACCGATTCCTACCCGGTTCCTTACATGACATGCAGACAGCAACTACTGCTATCACCAGCAACTACAACTGCTGCTACTACTCCTACTGATGTTGTTGCTACAACTATTATTACACCTTGTTTTATTAATGAACCATGTCTGCAAGATTTCGCTAAATAAGTTTTCAACGAAACCAAAAGTTCACATTTGTGTTTATTTGTTCCTTTACACAACAGTCAGTAATATTTCAACTATTTCTATTTCTGTAAATCAGGGCCAGACATATAATTATATTATATTTGATATGATCAAAATGTTCCAACTGTCACATATCTTGACCACCTGATCCAGTCGCCTCTTATGACAAGCTCTTGCTTAGACTACCAATGCTTCTTTTTAATAAATGGACCGTTTTTACTAGGAATGTGGCTTCTGGTTCGATTGAGTAGACATTTTGATCAAGTTATGTGTGATAGAATAAAGCGTCTTTACGGCCACGTGGCAAGAAATGGTTGACATTGTTTATGTTAACACACTTACCTGAGATGCTCGGAATATTTGTCGAAGTCGGCCTCGTTGATCTGTCCAGCATCTCTCTTGCTCCTCAGACTCGCAAAAGTATCTGCAAAAAGACCGTCATGACATCAGACAGCAATTTCAGATGAACATTAAGTTACTCAACAGCTGATCTAATATCTGAGAGGGGACGCGGTTTGTCCTGTTGTCTGAGGCGCGGGCCGTGAACCATGATCGCGGGTTCCATGTCGTTTCTGAGCTAAATACTCGCAAGCTTCAAAAAAGTGTTAAACGTCTTCGACCCGCATCACTTCGGGTTTTCCTCCCATATGCGATATAAATGAAATACTTATCAACGTGGCGTAAAATACAACTAATTCAATCACGATGGCTTAGATAATATGATCACAACATGTTTTGTCACAAAAACAGATATGTAAGAATGCTTCGCTAGATGTTTATGAACGGGCTGTCAATGTCATCTCGGCGTGGCAGCTTCACATTGGAAGAAGACCACAAGGGAAGAACAAATCAGAGGGAGCGAACATAGCATTCGGGGGAGACCCAGGATGCTTTGAGGGAGACGGTTCCACACAAGTAGAAGTGTTTTTGTCAAATAAACCATCTATGCCTCTTACAAGTTTATAATCGACTTTACTCTCGACACTTGTATATCTGTACAACAAGGGAATATCATGATGTCACTAATCAACCCTCAGAAGGTAGTATTTATCAGTCCCAGTTATCCTGCTGTTAAATAGCTCTTGAAGTATGATTATCAGGTAGAATAGTGTGACATTTACCTTCAGTAATCTGACTCTTGTCGAACTCTGCTGGAGCCTGAAAATGGATAGATGAGAGTTGTACATTTTAAAATATCAATTGAGACTGAGAGAAAGAATACATCATACATTTCACTTTCCACATTGCTCACATATCATACGAAAACGCTGTGTGATATGATGTACCCCAAACTGACAGAGAAAACAAAATGCATTTGAATTTTCACATTATGGCGTGATTAAATGTACCCCTGACGTAAAACATTAGAGTATGTTTTGTGTATCGGGAATAATATTGAATTCATCACGTTACCAGAAAGTCATCTACAGAATTGGACCCGTGAAGATCCGGAATAGAATAGGTCTCCAGCAACCCATGCTTGCCGTTAAAGGCGACTCTGCTTGTCGTAAGAGGCGACTAACGGGTCGGGTGGTCAGGCTCGCTGATTTGGTTGAAGCATGTCATCGTTTCCCAATTGCTTGGATCTATGCTCATGACACCAATCACTGGATTGTCTGGTCCAGACTCCTATTATTTACAGTCAGCCGTCATATAGCTGGAATATTGGTGCGTGCGGAGTTAAACAACAAACAAACCAATATACAGAGTTGTTCCTAACAAATGCCTGAATTACGGATATATACTCACTTCAGCACTGGTCTGGATGACCAGGAAGACGCACGCAAGGGCGACAACTGCGAAGAATTTGAATGAAGACATCGTGACTGAAAGAGAATAATCCATTATGTCAAATATCCGTTTCATAGATCACTCATCGTGACTGAATGAGAACAGTTTATCAATATCAAATTTGATGGCCAATATCACAGACCACTCAACTATTATGCCAATAGACAAAGGATGGAAGCAGAGGGGATGCAAGTCTGAAACCGGGTACCAGAACAATTAAAAGAATGTCTGGCTGGATGTTTAGGTAGGTCTTTCAACGTCATCTCGGCGTGGCCGCTAAACATGGGAAGAAGACCACAAGGGAAGTTGGTCGAATGGCAAAAACAATTCAAAAAAGGGAACGATCGTGGCATTCGACTAATAGACAAGTAATCAACCTTACTCTCGACATTTGTGTAACGAGGGAATATCATGATGTCACTGATCAACCTTTAGAATACTTATCAACGCGGCGTAAAATACAACTCACTCAATCACGATGGCTTAGATAATATGATCACAACATGTTTTGTCACAAAAACAGATATGTAAGAATGTCTCGCTGGATGAAGTCTTTCAATGTCATCTCGTCGTGGCCGCTAAGCGTGGGAAGAAGACCACAAGGGAAGAACAAATCAGAGGGAACGGACATAGCATTCGAGGGAGACCCAGGATGCTTTGAGGGAGACGGTTCCACACAAGTAGAAGTGTTTTTGTCAAACAAACCACCTATGCCTCATAATCAACTTTACTCTCGACACTTGTGTATCTGTACAACGAGAGAATATCATGATGTCACTAATCAACCATCAGAAGGGAGTATTTATCAATCCTTGTTATCCTGCTGTTAAATAGCATCGTTTGAACCAGACTAACGTCAACGCACTATATATTCTATTCCTAACGGGAGTACAAAAAAGAGCTATGTTAAAATAATATCATCTTACTCCGGATGTATCGAGTTCGGTTATCACAAAAATGTTACCATAACGAAGTTAGGTGTTAGCAAAATCAGTAATTGACGTTTTTGTTGATGTGGAAATCAGATGCAACAAAAAGAGTCGAAATAGTCTTAGAGCTCATTACATTCGGCATTTAATGTATCGTCATTGAATCGTTCTCTGTTAGCAAGGTGTGAGATGGTTTAACGCCACTTTGAACAACATTGCAGTCATATGGCTTCGTGTCGGCTTCATGTGGCACGCTTTGAGGGACCGTATATCACAATATTCAGTTTAAAGTATGTCGAGCTTGAGAAAAGCTTTCATTACAATAAGACCCAACATGAGACTCTACGTTTGTTTTGAGCGCAGACCCAAACTGCTACGAGAACGACTCGCGAGACATTTGTGTTTAACAGTATTCCAGTTGTATCACGGCGTGTCAGCTTAATGTTGGAGGAAAGCCCGAAGTGATGCAGGTCTTAGACGTTTCAGTGAAACCCACGAGCATGGGTATGGTGCTGACAAACCTAGAATCATAATCGGGTCGACGCGGGATTCGAACCCACAATCATAGGTTTCTGTCGTGCCCAAGAGACGATGGCGGCGCCTTCGACGACTAGACTCGTGCCCCCCGTTTAGCAAAAATTAATCAAAAGTTTATAGGACTTCTCTGGAAATCGGAACTTTCAAAACACTTCCCAATTTAAGTCACAATGAAATTTGATCATTTTCTGATGACTTTAGAAATATTGCCAAATAAATCTAAAAATATGTTTTTCAGATAATATTATATCACATTATATCATTATTGAAATTTATAATAAACATCAAATCGTGTATCAACAGGCAAGTTCATAGTCAAAAATAACATCAGTTATTAGCCATAGTCAAGAAAAACGTTTTCGATATTTGAATGAATCGAGAGAAGAGCAGCTGAACTTACCTATAGGGTTCCTGGATCAGGCTATAGGCTATGTTAGGTGTGCGTGGTATATATAGGCCTAGCCAGCCTCACGTGGCGTCCTGACGCAAAGACTCGTGGCAACTGACGGTAGGGATGTTTCATGACCTTCAACCTGTACTTTTAAATCTTGTCATTCGACATGGGCTCTGATGTCTTCTGCGTGACTAATTATTATTCAAATTGATAATTCATGGTCTTCTTGGATAAAAGGGGGTGGGGGAGCCCAAGGGTTAAAGCGTCGCTTTTCACTTAGAAGTGCCGGGTTCGAAGCCCAATTCTATGTTCCCCGACGTAAATATTGCTGAAGTCACCACAAGACCATACCCACATATTCACTAGTACATGGGTGTGGGTAGGATTTGTTAGGATGCTAGACTATGTATCCAGTGACGGATTGAGTTGAACGCCACTTTTAACATATTTTTTCCGTTATATCTCATCCGCATGGTTGCTAAGCGTATTAGCTTAATGGGAGAGAAAAGCCTAACTTTACCACGTACTGACAGACAACGGACGGGTCAGGGCTGTACACACGATCACAGAATCCTGGCACGTCCAAGGGACGCAACTTGTGCCCCTACATTTATGGGAGATGAAGGTTTGATAGTAGCGTTAAAATAATGTTTCTACGCTTGATTGATACGTTGGTGTAGGGAACTTTTAATGAGGACAATAGTTCAACATTTCCGACATCATAGAGATTCCAACGCAGGTCTTTTGATCACAGCAGGCCGTGCCATTTCGTTGTTAAATCAGAGAGAATTTTCAACCTTATAGTGTTTAGAGATACTACCAATGAATTCAAAGAACCAGACACACGGCATTCCAACCCATATCTTGGGACGACAACGTGTATAGTTTAAAGGGCCGCACATTGCTATGCAGATCTAGCTGACACGCCGTGATATACAGTAAGCTACGTTTATAACGAACACGCTTATAACGAACTGACGGATATGACGAACTTATTTTTTTTGGCCCCGACAATTTGCTGTCTATATGTTGTACATATGCTTATAGATTATAACGAACTACGATTATAACGAACTAAAATAAGTAGCCCATTTGAGTTCGTTATAACCGTAGTTTACTGTACGTGAAATATACTGTTAAAATCTCACTCCCTCAAAAAAAAACCGAATGACATAGGAGGGTCCAGAGGGGGTCCAGAGGGGGGTCCAGAGGGGGGTCCAGAGGGGGTCCAGAGGGGGTCCAGAGGGGGTTCCAGAGGGGGGTTCCAGAGGGGGTTCCAGAGGGGGTCCAGAGGGGTTCCAGAGGGGGTTCCAGAGGGGGTTCCTTGTTTGAAAACTGAATGTAGTATGTTGTAGGTAGTAAAAGTATTTAAGAGAAGATTTTGATATTATATTTTTTATCCGCTATTAAATTAGAAATATAATAATCAATGCGATTTTATCACAAAGTGAACGGGAGCATCAATCGTACACTTATATTCCGTATGTTACATTGTCATTGTCATGGTAATGACAACAAGGTGTGACTTTGTAACAGAATTACGTGTTTTACTCTTTTTCAACAATTTCATATATAATACATGCAGATATTTTAAAGTTGTTGAAATAGTTTGCGAAAATCCGCCTGGTATTGAACGCTCGCTGAAATCAGGCCTGAAACACGTGTGAGGTTTTATTGATGTCTTATTGATCATTTGTTAAAGCTCGCTGACGCATAAAATAAAGTAAAAGAATATGATTTTGACATATGAGATAGATCAATAGAATGTATATTCTCTTACAGGTAAGTTGCAAAGAAAGAAATTATATTTAATTTCATTTTGAGGCATATCCCTCTGAAGTTATCTTAAAACCCTGTTTGACAAGATGGAGGACAAGATTATTGTGTTTGTCTCTGGACAAAGAGTGAGTGAGTGAGTTGGGTTTAACGCCGCTTTTAACACTATTCCAGTCATATCAAGGCGTGGTCAGCTTAATGTGGGAGGAAAGCCCGAAGTGATGCAGGTCTCAGACGTTTACCACTCCGGTTAACCCACGAGCACGGGTATGGTGCTGACAAACCTAGAAACATAATCGGGGCGAACCGGCATTCGAACCCACAATCATAGGTTTCTGGCGTGTCCAAGGGACGCAACTCTGCACAGCGAATCGCGGCGCCTTAGACGACTGGGCCACCCGTGCCCCCTCTTGACAAAGAACAGGCACAGAACATGAATATGTGCCATTGTTACTCATAAGAAAGATAAGTAAACTACGTTTATAACGAACACGCTTATAACGAACTGACGGATACAACAAATGGGTCTTTTTGGTCCCGGCCTTTTGCTGTATATACGTTGCATATATGCGTATAACGAACTACGGTTATAACGAACTAAAATTACTGGTCCTTTTGAGTTCGCTATAACCGTAGTTTACTGTACCAATAAAACGACATGACAATCTACTCTTCGTCATATGAATAAAGTATACTTTATGTAAAAAGGTTAACTAAAATATTGCAACTACTAAAAACATGACTCCCCAAACTGTAGACTAGCATTTCAAGGAATTTTAATTCGAGGTTATTATAATGTCCTTTTCACTTGTGAATTGGATTAGACCAAAACATGACAAATGTTTTTTTAATCAAAATTATATATTATTACAATATTTCCTCTGAAATAATGACAGTGACGTTATGTCGAAATCGCCTGTATAGAAAAACTATTATTTATTTCAACAGCAGTGAAAATATTTTTCATTTTCAACGATTGACAAAAATCCTCCTCAAACGTTTCTTTTTACTTATAAGGAGCAGAATCTCAGCGCTTGTACACAGAAGACGTAATTCAAAATTAACATATCGTTTTTAGTTTCAACAAAGTCAGTGTCACTGGATTGTCTTGTCCATCACTTGATTGTCTTGTCAAGGCTCAATTGTTAACATGGTTCAGTCGTACGGTCGGAGAACTGCTGTAGGCGACAAAGACCGACTTACATTTTTATACTTTTTAGGTGGCTGTTACGGGTTATAATTTTCACTAATAGTTTACCTTTAACGCCCATTGGAATTTGTTTCGGCGGATAAACGAGACTGAATATGCTTTTGCGTTGGCGTTTATATGTCTCTTTATACATATATAAGTATATATTACCCTAATATTTCGCTTCACATTGAACAATTGAAAGAACCCGACCACAGAACACTGTAAACATTTTGAAAAAAATTCAAGTAATTAAGACTTGTTAATTTAAAATTATAATTTGAAACAATGTAGCTTTGGGTTCTGATGACGTGTCATCGTTTTAAGTTCGTTTCTGATGCAAGTAGCATACATTTGGTCAACCTACATAGATTCAATTGAATTAAGCGTGAAAAAACCGAAGGATGAGGCTAGAGGCTCCAGGTGTTACTGATGAAATGTGCTTCATTGGACCCCCGCTCTGAAGCACAGGTGTGAAACATACTCGATATACCTCCCGCACGTCAATCAATACATCACCTTACAAACGACTGCAATATAACATCGAAACTATTCTGGTGTTAAATATTACTTAATGTTTTAAGACGTTTTGCTTTCTGGTTGAGCAGCGACTATATGTCTGATTCTTTAAGCTGCAATAAAATCTATAAACACTTTTAACTCGAACTCTTTTAACTCAAACGCATTTATCTCGAATTGTTACCAAGACAATGCCGGCTGAGTCATATCCACGCCTGGATTTTATATTAAAAGTATGTTTGTCTCGAAAAACGCATATACAGTAAACTATGTTTATAACGATACCGCTTATAACGAACTGACGGATGTAACGAACTGCTATTCCCGGCCATCATAGATAGATAGATAGATAGATAGATAGATAGATAGATAGATAGATAGATAGATAAAATACAAAAGTCCAAAGATGAGCTGTGTAAATTACTCAACCGGTTTCGCGCATGTGATTTTCAAGAGTGTATATATATATAGCGAACTACGGTTATAACGAACTAAAGACCCGTGAAGATCCGGTGTAGAATAGGTCTTCATCAATCCATTCTTGCTTTAAAGGGCGGCTATTCTTGTCGTAAGCGGCGACTAACATGATCGGGTGGTCATGCTCGCTGACTTGGTTGATGCATATCATCGTATCCCAAATACGTGGATCGATGCTCATGATGTCAGTCACTTGATTGTCTGGGCCAGAATCACTTATTTACAGACCACCGTCCTATAGCTGGAATGTTGCTGAGTGTGGCGTAAAACAACCAACCAACAAACCAACCAACACAAGCCCCATGTAACAAAAGCTTCTGATTGTTGCCATACTTGAGACAAACATACTAAGGCTTCATGAGCTGCTGATGGCGGGGATAGACGCCTGAGAAGGCACGGTTGAAATACTCAATAGTGTGGAGCTTATTTTGGTGGGTAGAACATATCGGTTGTCACTTCGAATGGACGCTTGGTGACCCGCCATAAATACATGACCTGTCTAAATGGAACTGTCGTTAGATCATACCGTCCCTATTTGACGATTATTTTTTTAAGACAGTGAGGAATTCCCCTGTAGTTATGTGAGTGAGTGAGTATGGTTTTATGCCGCTTTTAGCAATATTCCAGCAATATCACGGCGGGGGACACCAGAAATGGGCTTCACACATTGTACCCATGTCGGGAATCGAACTCGGGTCTTCGGCGTGACGAGAGAACGCTTTAACCACTAGGCTATGTTCATCATAAGAGGAGACTTAATAACACGGTGCCATGGTCAACGTCGGTGGCTTAGTTGATTGTGTGTCATTATATTTAATCACTGGATTGCCTGACCCATTATGAAATATGAAATAATTTAATATTTGACAAACGCCTCCTGCAAATATCTACAATTTGACAAATTTCATTGGAAAATGTTATTATGTGGGACGGGTGCGGTGGGGTAGCCTAGTGGTTAAAGCGTTCGTTCGTCCAGCCGAAGACCAGGGTTCGATTCCCCACCTGGGTTCAAAGATTGAAGATTATATTTTTTATCCCCTCCGTGATAATGATCGAAAATTGCAAAGACGGCGTAAAACACAT